TTCTCGGCGATGACTCTATAAGTGGGAATCAAATGCGTTAACTTTACACTTGTGGTCTCAATGATCAGGACTCCACTTACTTGAGTGTCTCGACAACGTATTCGGGCAGTCCCTCGGATTTGGATAGGCACAGATAGCGCGTCGTTTGGCGTCCAAAGAGTAAATTGTTTTCACGCCACAGATCTGCGTCAGCATCCTGATCGTACGTCCGATGTATGGCATTAAAGTTCTTGGGGCAACTAAGAGAAAGGAAAGACATAAATTGATTATAATTGAGGCTACAAATTGCTCGTTTAATGGGCGAGTTAAAACGAGTCAACGGGTTCAACAGTTCAAATTGTGCATTCTTACAGCTATGCTGCAGTAGTTCAAAGAACTAGTTCAGTTCACACTTAAAACTTAAAGGTTAGCCTGATGATGATGTATCATATGATACCATATATCACATATACTCATATGTGATATTTGAGTATTCTTTGTGTAGTCTAAAATCTCTGATTCGATAAAAGTAAATCATAAAACATGGAATAATGGAATAATAAAAATTCATGTCATTTCCCAACCTATTTTACCTTGTTATATATTATATTTGGGCTATGGTCCATCAACTTTGGACATATGCACAGAATTGTTACTACTGTTTGAGCTATTAAAACACGTAATTGTACATAGAATTTGACTTTGACCGGAAGAGCAGTCGAGTTTCATATGACCTACATAAAAGTCGACATATAGTGTATATTCCACAGATCTATAGCTGAAACTCACAAAATGGGAGGGCTGGGGCATTGTTGACGTCGTCTATTGAATTGCGGTTGTATAACAGTGTATAACAATACAATACATACAATAGTTACAGATCTCTACATGATCACTATTGAACTCATAGAACATAGAAAAAATACAGTGGAATCCGGTTACAGCGACATTCAAGGGACCGTCGTTATATCCGGAAGACGCTAAACCCATATAAGTTTGCTGATATAAATTTGTCTAGGGACCAGAACTTTCGTCGCAATAACCGTACGGACGTTATAAGCGGTTTCTACTGTATATACACTATATTGTCCATTAACGAGCGAGCATTATGCAGTCGGTTATGCCCGTATTTATATTTTGAATTTTCGCTTTTGTATCTATATTGTTCTGTAGCTGACCCAATTTGTTCGATTAAATATACGCAAGTGCTAACACAACATTTCGTAATACTTATTTATTGCTTTGAATGCTTCACTTACCGCTCAAAGTCCTCGACAATGTGCAGCGAGGTGATTGGCCGATTGTCCGGCAGGAAGCTCATTATGGAGTTGAACACATTTTTGGGGCTGGTGGCCGAGCCGTTCGCTGTGACCGTGGCTCCAGCAGTCGGCGCCAGCAGTCCGTTGGAGGCGTGACCAATAGCCAAAGCTGGGCCAGCGCTCTGGAATTGCTTGCCGGCCTTGTTCATGTCCAGGCGGCTGTCGTTGCTCAAATTCCTAAATCAATCCTGGCCCCAGAGGCTGCTGCTGCTGCTGCTGCTGGTTCGCTCTGAGCTCTGTGAATAGACACAAAAATAGCTACGTTTATACACACTCACACACACGCACACACTATATATATATATGTATATACAACGAGTCGAGCCGTTGCTGTTGCTGTTGCTGTTGCTATCTGCCTGTATATACAATATATAAATTGATAGATTTTAATACGTATTTGTGCTGCTGTCAAATTACTCATACGGCCTGTAGCCGTGGCCAACTTCTCTCACATATTTTTACAAAAGCATTTGCAGTTACTTATTTACGGGCATTTCCCCAACTCTGATTCATACGATAATCGAATCGGACAGCAACAAGCGTTGCCTTTTGCGGCTTCCACCTTGCGACTGGCTCTCTTTTTTCGCATACTCAAATAAAAATTTAAAAAACAAATAACTTTTCTTTGTGCTTACGCTAAAATTTCTCTTTTACGCACACACACACACACTCAGAGAAGGGCGCACACATGGGCGCAATTCGGTCAGCAGAACGAAAACAGTAAACAAATGTTTTATCGGCCTTAAGTGTACACTTTTAAATACCCTAACCCACGCTGAGTGCTCACCTCGATTTTCTTATCGAGCTGTTCCCAATGCTTCCGATTTGTCAGCACTGAAAATTACCGAATTGTGGATTGACAAGCAGATACTCGTCGTAAATATAATATTGAAATAAAATAAATATAATATCTGAATGTAATATTGAAATTCTATTCTTTATTTCAATTATTGATATATCATTAAACTTTTTACAGAGATTGTGTGAAATCATCGCAGAGCACGTACTTCAAATAAAAGAGGAAAAGAAGCAACAAATTTAAACAAGAATTGTTATCAAGTTTATTGGACCCAAAAGGTCAAACACTAACATCTTTAAACAACAATATTGCTCGAATCTGGAAGGCTTGGCTAATAGATATCCTAAACCCTAATATACCAAGCATTGTATGCTTTTTTCGATTAATATCGATCGATTAACATCGATCTTATGGCAATGGGATAAACTATTGAAAACCAAAAGATAAACTTGTGCTGCGTATGGTAAACATGACTGACTATTCATATACAATTTCCAGTCTCTAGCTTTTGTCGTTTACGAGATCTTGGTCGGACAGTCCGACATGACTGAAACAACTCGTCCATCTGAACAGGGATATATAGGGTCTTCATGGGGCTCCTTCGACTGCTTTTCACATACAATATAACAATAACATTATCTCCTGTTATAAAAAGAGTATTTCACTGTCAATGTGCTGTTTCAGATTTCCCCTTGTTGTCGTTATCAATTCAATATTTATTAGCGATTCGCTTAAATAAGCAAAGTAGAAGAGCTCGCATATCGGATCAAGTACAAAATAAACATAATTTATTTCATATGCGAATCAATTGCAATTGTATTCCCTGTTGCCAATAAACATTCAGACGTCTGTGTTTGTAAACAATTGTAAACAATTATTAATTTTGTTTATGTTCAAATTCTTTGGGGGTTTGCGGTTTTGCAGTTCTTAAAATAAAAAAATCAAAATATAGTTATAAATCACAATTAAAATTTCCCTAAGACAATTGACTGGAGAGCCCTTTCTATATACTGTCCTCGCCTTATAGACATGTTAATTTATGGTCTTTTTTATGGTACATGCTATAAATAGCGAAAATCGTGATTCGGAAAGCATATAAAACGTATGTATTTTATCGCATTGATAATGACCGAACAGGAAAAACAAGCTAAATGCATAGATAAGTATTTATATTTGATCAATATGTACTAATGTGTAATGTTGCTTTGCCGCACATACATAGTAGCAGTATATAATAAATATCAAATATCGAAGGACTTAACGGGAATCACAGCCATGGTAGGAAATTTGATGCAATAGCCAACGAGAGCTTTGACTCACCAGCCAAACACGTAAAACAGAAAAACAAAGACAAAAGCCGAATTAAGAAGAACAAACAATGCATTGTGGCTGCTGTCTAGCGCTCGATCGTAGGTTTTTATTGCATTTGTTGATAAGATTTAAGAGTCAAGGTGATAATAAAATCGCAGATAACTTAGAGGAGTTACGCACACACACATATATATATACACACGCGCATACTGTCTCATTCATAGATCGGCTTTAGGAACTTTGAGTCATCGCAATGAAATTGCGAGAGACAAAGCAAAAACAAAACACGCAAGCAACAACCTTTAAAACGTTACAGATGAACGGCACAAAAAAGACGCCGCCAAATATCAGTGTCGGCTGAAGTGCAAAAACATTGAAGAATAAACTGCAGTACGTGACAAGGGCTAGAAGCAGAGTGTAATACAAGCGAATAAATAGACGCAGACAAAGAGCAAAAGCAGCAGCCGTTAACTAACTCTTGCCCGCGTGCACATATGAATGTATATACATATGTACATATGTATATATAAACAAGCATACATATACGATTATCCGTTCACCCGCTCGCACCCACTGCGCCATACACACACGCACTCAAAATTACGGGTTTTGAGTGAAAAGAAAAAATGTTGGGTCTTGTTTCGCAATTGGAATAACACGAAAATAGAAACGATTTGATTGAGTTGAGAGTTTTTAGTGCCGGCCGTTCTGCAACACACAAATCACACACAAATTTTTATGCGTCAAATTGTAGGGAGCCCAATTGAAAATAAAAGGCAGCAGCAACAGCATCAGCAGAGGCAGCGTCGCAGTAGCATTCGGCATCGTTGGCGGCAGCATCACACATACATGCATATATATGTACATACATAGCTCCACATAATTAGCATTCACTGCTGCTGTTCATTCTTACAAGATGGGAAATGAAGTTTAAGTAAATGCATAGAAGCTTGCTGCGCGTGGAACAACAACCACAACAGTGGCAGTGGCAGCGGCAGCGGCAACGGCGCTGCGCCAACTTCAATTAATAAATAAATATGTATTTGCTAGCRCATTTGTTACGTACCTTTTGCACTGTGCGGCTCAGGCGTACGAATGGCATTTAATTATTTTCTTTATTATAACCTAGTTGCTATTTTTAATACACAATTGCACTTTTGTAAGTTGACATAATACAAACGAAAAAAAAATACACAGATATTGTTTAGCTCCCGACGCCCGCACACTCCGTCAGCTGTGGATAATTAAAATCAACTAAGCTCAGTGTGACCGCATTCTATTCTTAGCCTTTGCCATGCTGGTTCGTTTAGAACTTATAAAATCAATGAGCGAACTAGCTCAAATGCGCGTATGGGGAATATGCTAAAATTGCAGAGGAACAGTATGACTTGTTTTTAAGTTTAAATTTCAAATTACTATTTCATTTTTAATTTTTAGTTTGTTTATTCACTCTTTTCTATGTTACTGCCTTATCAATGCTATGCATTTCAGAAGTAAATTTACTGCAACAATGTACTCGTTTGTTTTGACTGCATCGATACTAAGTATCGTTATATCGATAAGACATCAGCCATTTCACTTGAATCTGGTGCTATCAAGTTGCATTTTCACAAGGAAAGAGAGTGCATTATAATGGATAAAGCCATGGAAGCTATTGCAACACCTAACATTAATCCATACCGCCGTTTGCTGAACAAGGCGGTGTCCCAGCTGCTGTTGGACAAAGGCGCCAGCGTATCCAGCAATCAATGCCTTGAAACATTGACCCAAATGCTGCAGGCGCGTAAGTTAATTTTAAGTTTGTAATTTTCTGTATGTAAATATCTCGTTTTTTAGTTCTTTTTGAAATTGGCAATTCGGCACACAGCTACTGTGAGCTAGGTGGACGTACCATGCCCACTGTGGGCGATGTCAGCTTGGCTCTAATTAACATGGGCATCAATATAAGCAGCTTGGAATCGTATGCACGCCGTGTCAACCATACGCCCATTCCTTTGCCGCCACAGCAAACTCAGCAACGCCAGTTAAGTCTGCTCCAAGCAGGCAACAAAGCACCCCATCCTCACTATGTGCCCAGCTATTTGCCACCTATGCCCGATCCTCATGCCTACATACGAACACCGACGCACAAACAGCCGGTTACGGAATATGAGGCTATACGTGAAAAGGCTGCCAGTCAGAAGCGAGACGTTGAGAAGGCTCTGACCAAGTTCCTCTGCAAGACAATGGAAACAAACAATCTCTTTCCCACCGAAGATAATATGTTTCCTCGTAAGTGGAGCAAGTCTACTAAATCCTTAATTTGTTTAATTTAATGTACGTTTATTTGAATTTTGCAGTAATAGCCTGTAAGCCCACTTTTCCGGCATATGCAGCTGCCCTGAATCCCATGGATCAAATATTTGACTTTGAGGAACTGGAGTATCACTACTTGGTTGCTAATCGGACAGAAGATGCTCCTACCAAAGGTTTGTCGACAAGATATCTAAATTTATATTGACATTTTACTTATCCTTACTTAATCCTTCCAGAGGATGGCGAGGACGGTGACAGCGAAAATGAGGAGCTGGATGGCGATAAGTCTAAGGAGGAGAAGCTCGAGCTGGAGATCAAACCCAATTCGACCACAAATAAAGCCATTTTAGAAAATCCGAACATAGATAATCCCTACTTACGCGCTGCCACTCTGCCAAAGCGCTCCAAGTTGCACGGAGATATCGTCCCGCCCCGCATTATGTCAACACGCAACCCGAGTTCTGGTCTACTGACAACAACCCCTTCCACTATAGATTTAACCAAAACTAACCTGTGAAATATGTGCAGTAATTTTATAGTTAGTAAAAAAAGAAAAAAAAAAAAAAAAAACCGAATATTTCGATAATTTATGCTATCGGTATAGGTGTTTATCGTGCCATCTTCTGCATTTTGTTAGGTGGCAACGCTGCTTGTGCAAACAGCTGTTCACCAGGCCGCATTTTCTAGTTCCAATTTACATTTTCCTGCTTAGTTTGATTATCATTGTTTTTCTTTTCTTTTTGTGTGAATATTAACACAAGCAGCCGCTAAATTGTTGTTTTTAACGCTGGTAAAGCGTATAGCTAAGCATACCGCCTAGCATCGAACTCAATCAACATGAATTTCCTGCGCCAAACATTCAACGTTACGAAACAGTTGACGACCCAGGGTAAGTTCGGCCCGTAAGCTTAATCGAAACTTATATATGTTCCGGTATTTGTCCATATTGCAGTTGTCTAAGCACATACACACCGCCACGTCCACGCTCCCTTTTATTTGACTAGGCCTGCAGTCGCCAATCAACGGCTCCTCTTTCCTGTCAAGTGACTGTGCGCATTTTCTCTATTTATCCAACGATCCTGCTTTCCATTGTGTGCGTGTGTGTAAAATGATTTGTATAGATTGTTTGCCCACGATCTCAACTCTTTTGCAAGGGCGCGTGGCCGGCTTGCTTGTGACTCGCTCTGTCCGCGAGCCTTCCCCGTTCTCGTCCTGCCTGTGAATATTTTTATAGGCCTTTTCACATGTGTCCTCGGTTTTTAATAATGCAGCCATAGGCAAATGTTTTCATAGCCTTGTCACTACATTTTTCTGACTATAAACCATAAGTAAATATATATTTGATGTTAGTTTCGATAGATGAAATGCCCTGATTTATGAAGTAGACTTACTAGATCAAGGTACAGCAATTTCGTTACATATTTATGATATTTATTTAACGTAGAGATCTGTTTTTTAGTCTAAATTGATTGACAATGATTAAGATTGAAAGAAATTTTAAATGTATTAAATTAGTGATACAAACAAGTATTAGGTTAATATAATGTTCTATAAGGGGTCTGTTTGTTTCAGTCCAACAGTTATATGTACTATATATATATGATATATAGGTATATCTGGATTTAAATATAGTTACATGTATATATCGTATAGGATCAAGGGCCCACATATATATTTATACATTTGATAGTCACAATTGGACTAGCTGACTGAAATGGAAAGCCGTGTTGGGTTTCAGGATATCTCTAGCTTTTGTTTATACATTCCCTTTTTTGTATTTTTGGTTTTTAATTAAAATTCACACACAAATGCGCATAACATGTTGTCAAAGGGCATCGACATGGACATGGCAGTGGCTAACAATAGGAATTTGCATGACATGCACACAATAAGATAAAAAGGACAAAGACAGGTGCGCCGAGGATCGCGACACATGCGCCCATTGTATGCTGTTGTCCAGCGTTATGGTAATTATTACCTGTGGGTGTGTACCTGTGTGAGTGTGTGTGTGTGTGGCATTTATCTAAAAATTGTAGCCGCTTTTCGATTTGTTTTGTGAATGCAGAGCACAGCGAGTGGCCACAGAGTACAGTACAGTAAGCTGTGGCTACATGCGATCTAGCTCTTGCTCTTGCTCTTGGTCACTGGTGCAACCCCCGTTTGACGATCTGGCGATCTGTCACACGCTTTCAATCATAAAAGGCTTGATAGCTGACCCAAAGGCCGCGTCATTTGGCTGCAATTATTATTGGCAGCAGAATGAATCCTTGCACAAATGCATGCATGCATGCATGCATATATACATGTATGTATGTATGTGTGTGTGTAGCATAACAATTATTTTGCGATTTTCACAGAGATTAGCCACAACAAAAGGCCAATGGGCATTGTTAACCAACTGGCCAACTGTCCAACGGTTCGTCTGACCCTTTTTTGTCTGTTCTGTTCTTCTGTCTATTCTTTCGTTTGTGTCAAATGCTCTAAGCCGCTCGCTCGTTCGCCCTCCCGCACATGCTGCGGCTACTATGCATGCACATACATATCTATCTATATGGCCATATCTTAATTAGTACAGTTGTGCTTGCGTGAACTATAATCAGTTTGTTTGTCTTCTCAATCGTTTTGCAGCACTGCAGAGCAACTATTTGACGGCTGCATTGCGCGGGATGGCCTCGTTGAACCAGATGCATCGCACAGGACCTCACATTAAGAAGCGTCCGCCGCGTCAGCCGCTGGATGGGAAACCCTTTGCCAAGGGCGTGGTCCTCAAGACGCTCATCAAGAAGCCAAAGAAACCGAATTCGGCCAATCGTAAATGCGTGCTGGTGCGTCTGTCCACCGGCAAGGAGATGGTCGCCTATATACCGGGCATTGGACACAATCTGCAGGAGCACAATATTGTCCTGTGTCGCGTCGGTCGGCTGCAGGATGTGCCCGGCGTCAAGCTGAAGGCGGTGCGCGGTGTCTACGACCTGGCGCATGTCATCAAGAAGGGCCAATAAACTAACCATGTAATTCTACTCTCTCTCCCTCTTTCTATATATATACATATATAGTCTGTATAAATAAAGATAGCCAAAACAAATGAGGAAATCTTTCAATGGATTGTTCCATGTCCTCTGTACTATTATTTTTTTATGGAAAATTATGCAGCTCAGCCGGCTTAGTGTAAGTAGCCCAACACACACACACACACACACACATGTCTATACACATACTCATCTTGTCTTGTCGTAATCTTAAGTCAACAGGCCAAAGGGCAATGGGCGGGTCTGGCATTTTTGTTGCACATTCCAAATAAGTTTTAACGGCATTTTTACGCTTTACGCAGATAAATCCGTTTTTGAGAAACTCTCTCTTTCTCTCTTTCTCTCTCTCTGGCTCTGTGTTCCTCTGCTTTTTAACGGAATTTGTGTGCCCAATTTTATGCCAAATAATCGTTAACCGAAATGGGCGTCAGCCGGCCACGCCACATTTTCACAGTACCGAGTATCCTTTGAGGGAACATGACAAATTTAAATAGCCTTTGGGCAAAGTTCTCAATTACGTTTTTAATACAATTTACAGCTGCACGTTTTGGTTTTGGTTGAGTGTTCGGTTTAAATCCTTAGCTCTCTGATGATCATCAAGCTGGAACATAAAATAAATACCAAATATAATAATAAATATCAAATATAATTATTAATTTAATTTGCAATAATTCAAAATATGTGCTTATTGCTCTTACGTCGTTTTCTTTGCCGCACTGGCAACACAATTTTATGATCAAGCCTATTCAAATATCAACAAACTGTGTGGCAACTTCATAAAAATGGCCGCCATAATATATGTACATATGTATGTAATTATGAACGTCATTATGCACATACACATATGCATGGATATATGTATACATATGTATGTACATTCATATTTAAGTTGTGCAACCGATTCGTAAATTATTGTTAAAATAATTCTTAAATTATTATTGTCATATATGCTATGCTAAGTTATTATGTTGCTATTATATTTTTAATAGTTATAAAGAGTAATATTACACACAAGCACAGAATAGTCAATGAAGTTATTGTGTCTGTGTGCACTGCTTCAGTAGAGCTACAATCGAAGAACTTACGTTATTGCATTTGCGTAACGTAATTTCCTGAAACAGTTACGTATAATTTGAAACTGTTTACGCTATTCGATTTGCGTAACTCTGCATAACGCATTTCATGAAACAGTTACGTAACTTTAAATGTGAAAAGCGTTCCACTTACGTTTCCTGTTCCGTATGCGTTTGAATGCAGCGCACAATACGTTTGATCCACTAGTTACGCAACAGTTGCGCATTGGATATTAACTGTCAATATGACGGCCCTTGTAAATGGCTGCTCAAATGCAAGGCATTTTATTACATATTTTTGTAGTTGTAATTTTTTGCATATATGAATTGAAATATGCAGTTTCAGCTACTAACATAAATGTGTGCTCCTTTTAACCTTAAGTGCTAAAATATTTGCATTCATAATAACAAAACGTAAGTAACTTAATCATCACGTTACGCAACAGAAAAGGCACCAAGACGGCGATCTTGCTCAAATGACCATATTCATTTTTGTTACATAAATATAAAAATAAATAAGTGTAAATAAATACATATTTACATACATGCTAAATATATATACATATGGATCGGTATATGTCCATTGTGTGTATGTATGTGAACGTATTGTAAATGTAAATGTCATATGAGTTAGGATGAGTGAAACGTCTGTGGGAAGCTCTGCGTTGGCTGTTGCAACTCTTTTCTCCGAGTCTCCTGCGGTCAGTCGATTCTCAGGGCCTTTTGTGTCGGCGCCCATCAAAGCAATAGTGAATGGTTAACCGTTAACCATGTAGACGGCAACAACAGTTAAGCAAACACACGTCCAGCATTCGTTTAATATCAGCCGACGGTCCCACGATGACATTTTGAGCGTTGACCGGGCGAAAATCCTTTTGGGCCAAAAACTTGCAGGCGGCTGTCGGTCAACAATGGCAACAGCAGCGTTACCGTTAACCGTTGGCCAAAACGTCCTGCCTGATTGAGCCATTATGACGAAGACGTAAACGTAGACCGTCTGAGTCTGACCAAGACGAAGATGAAGACTAGTGACACTTTCTGCTATTTCTCTTGCCCTTTGTTTTAGCGTCGTTCGCTGATTTTATGCTGAGTCAAGTCGGCTAACATGCTGCCAGATCCCTTTGTCCTTAAGCGTGCATAATTTTTATCAATAAAAATGCCATTGTGCACACACACACGCACACACACACAGAGTGACTATATATATAGTATATGTATACTATACATAGAGAGAGAGAGATAAGCACTAATCATCCTGCTGGACACGTCGGCACTTCCGTTGAAAACGCACCGCAACGTCGCATTATTTTTTCATAATAACTGTAAAATTTGAGTAAAATGACAAATGATTAGCTGCATAACGGCACATTCACACAACGTACAAGAAACGCGCTAATTGTCCGGCACAAATCTGTAAATGAAATGCGACGAAAATGAGCTTCAAATGCAATTTAAATGCGAATAACTAGCTTACGTATTCATTATTGATTTATTATAATATATTAAAGTTTATAT